CCTACTGCCTAAGGCCACCATCTTAATATAATTGAATAAGTATTAAGTATAGATTTGATTTGATTGTTAAACGTTATATATTCTTTGATAATTTTTGATTTTTACGCCGAACAATTCCCGACAAGTTCACTGAATGAAACGTTGGAATTATTTAAATTCCAAGCGCTGCGGTCATGTCATATATAATTTACACAATTGAAATCACGAGTCGATCTAAGCTAAACCACTATTAAAAACCTGGAAGCACTGGAAGACCGTTTCGTCTTCGTATGCGATTCCTCAACAGCGCGCATCCCCGTACATGGAATTCGAACCCAGAACAAATGCGTGACCACTAGACCACTGAGTCGGCATTCAACGGGTACTAGATTCGATTCCCGTGTGCGGGATCATAGATGCGCACTGTTGAGGTGTCCCATACAAAGACGAAACGGCTTTCCAGTGCTTCCAGGTCTTTAATGGTGGTCTACCTTAGATTGACTTGTAATTTCAGTTGTGAAATACTACAATCTCCACAAATTCACATACTGATAAAATATAGTTTTCATAAATAATGTTTTTAATTTATTCGGTGCCCAATTTCTGTTAAACTTTTCGTTCAAATATTGACGAATATTCATATAAACTTGCATGAATATGGTAATTATAATTATTTTTCACTAGTTTACACACCAAATAATATTTGCGAAACATTTTATTAAGTTATACAAATCAGTGCGTACGTAGGACATTTAAAGCAGACGAAATAAAATGAATCCACTTTATTTTCCGCGATGTTTGTTGATCTTGCCTTATAATGATGACGTATAAGTATTTCCCATTTTTTTTTACTTTTTTCCCCGGAACACAGGAGAAACATAGGAATTAAACTACTACCTCATGTTCGGGATTATTGATTTAACTAATAATGAGTGAATTATAATAATTCACTTTATTCATGTTAAAAATTCAATAACATAAGTAAAGATAAGAAGAACCATATGTCAAACATATCCTATTGATGTAGATAAATAATTGGTAACGCATATTGTTATTGTTAAAAATGAAAGAATGCAGCCAAACATTCCTTATAGCAAAACAAAATTTGTACCTATCACAGTAAATACAACAGTATCTATTAATGGACGGAATAACTGGGGATAGATAAGCTATAACTTTGAGGAACAAGTAAGGTATACAATGAGAAAATTATTTGCAATCTATCATACGAATACACTAAATATAATTATATTTGATGCACTAAGCCTTATAAACTACGAATCATGTATATCACAAGAGTACATAAATAAACTATAGTATTGCATTCTGTTTTTTACAATAGCAGACTTGATCTAGGATAAAATACATTATTCGATAAAGATTATTAATGTTATTTCACAAATGAAAGTTATTAGAATCTATTGGATTTCTGTAACTTCATTAGAACGAATACATCCTTGAGGATACATTCCATTTATTACCAAACACAATAAGAAATGTAAGCCCATTGAATGAGAATCGGGTTACAGTATATGCAGTGAAGGCAAGAAACAGCAGATTATGAAAGCTGAAAACGAGAAGACATTAGTTACTGGGGATTTTTTAGGAGACCAACCTAAAACGCCGTGCTTATAAGAACTTGGTTTCTACAGACACCTTAGAACTCTTTAAGAAGTCCAGGCTGCTGAGAAAAACCGTAAGTCCGATTATACGAGTAGTCTTTATGTAAGGAAAGTTCACAAAGATTCTGCAAGGACGGAGGAACCTAGTAATCGAAAAGGGCTAACGAGCTGGGAGGAAAAACTGCATCTGATAACTGTCTGGATCTATTTCAACTCATCCGAGCCACTAGCAGCAAGAAGTCTGATGTCAGAATAACAATCTGTTAAACTGATGGCAACTCGTACTAAATAAAAGAGCTTCGAATGATCAGTGGATTTTGGGGGCACAGTTCAGGCAATCCATTTCTCCAGCAACGTCGATCAATGTTTCCTATCCCCTCATCTCGGTGACTACCGACCCACCGATCGAAGTGGAGGTCCGTAAGAAGCAAAGAATGTTCCAACGTCTTAGAATGAAGCGATGGTCGTCCTCATCTTTAAAAAGGACCTATGTCATCTATGCAACTAATATAGAAGGATAATTCTACTTTGGCTTCATCCAAAGTATCGGCTTCCACCATACAACACAGATTGTAAGAAACTCGAGAAAGACTGACTAGCTAAAAAAAGAGACCGGTTTTCAATCAGATAGTGAGCATATTGATAACAACTTAACCCTATCCCAAATAGTGTTTACTGGAGGCCAACAATTTTTTGTGTTTTTTGATATCAGTGTACCGCCTTCGATTCACTGAATGGAATTTTACTCTAGGATTCTGTATTGCACAAGGACGTGTCTAAGAAGCAGACTAACATTCTGAAGGCTCTTTACACAAACAACCTTGGTAGACTAAGTGCTTACAACTAATTCTCTCCAGTGTTTCATTCCAGCAGTGGGGATAGGTAGTTTTTGAACCTTACGACTCCTGTTCGACTTTGCCATCGATAATAACTTGGAAGCCGTTCTGATAGAAGTAGGTGGTGGTGGTGGCATCTTGTAAAACCTTTCGATCTGGAATATGCAAATGACAATGTACTATTGTCCAACGTTATATACCCAATCAAAATCAGACTTATTTAGTCGATAGCTAGTGTTTGTTAATATAGCATGTGCTTAGCAGTATCTAAATCCAAAGTGCTTTTACAAAATTGAAAGGAGTCCGAGCCTGTGCTCACCCTTTGTAGTGAAACGTCGTAAATAAACGACAGGTTCGTGTATCTAGAAAGTTGTAAGTGTTGGTGGTAGTGGGACTAATGAAATCTACGTAGAGCGAAAGCCAGAGCGACTTATTCCAGTTTCCCTATTTTTGATACTCCCACAATGTTAGTCTTGTTGTAGAAAGTTGGATTTACAACGCGTCGGTGAGAGCGGTTTTGTTCTTTGCTCGAAAAACCTGGTTTCTCCAAAATGAGGATATTCGGAGACTTCCCAGATAATTACTGACATTCTGTGGTCAAGTCATGTCAGTAACAAGGAAGTTCGGAAATGTGTTTCGGAACATTGGCGATAATTCAATTAAGTTATTATTCTGTAGCACGGGCTCCTATGGCTTGCACTTGTCCTATTAGTGTCCCCCAATGACTTCCATATAGTCCATTTATTTTTGACGCTGAGACTAGACAGAAAAAGCAGAGAGGTGGTCAATTTATAATACGACATTTGGTATGAAAGAAAACTGTGTACGAGTGGGATCTTCTAATCTAGTTGGTGTCATCAAGGTGACTGAAGAATTTATTAAACATGATCCAAAATAGAAGCCAGTAGCGATTCTGTTGTAATTTTCGTTTATATTATTCATAAAAGTGAAAGAAATTGAAAGAAGCTTTTGCTGGTTGCATTTTTAACTACACCGTGTCTCAAGTTATACACTATTCATATTTACGTAATTTTACTTTTTGGTTACACTCCCCTTCCCTCTATTTATTTTTCCACAATATGATTATTCCACATGCTCTTTTCAGTGCCAAAATATACCAGAATTTACGTGTCTAAAATAAGCACATAAATACCAACCAACGTGGGAAGTGAAATAAATTTAAATTTACTTCCCAAGTATTTTAATTCATACATTTTAATCACACCATGTGATTACTAAATTACTCGGAAACTTTATTCATTAACATCACATTATTACCATCCTCATAATTCATTACTTCTACCCAATAAATAAAAACATGCTGACACAATAAAAATATGTGATCAAAATGAATAGGTAAATAAACGATGGTGTTCAACTTAATGAATAGTCATTTTTCTTCAAAATACTTAACAAACTATCTTTTACATTCAGTGAAGTAATTCAATATGCAGAAACTTCTAATTACAACATCCGTAACTCTTTGTCATTAGTGAAACAAACCCATTCTAAATCATCTCCCTATATGAATTACTTTACTAGTAAATTTTCCAAACTCTGGAATAATCTGCCACAATCTATCCGTAAGATAAAACCACTCCCATCTTTGTTCACTGCATTGATGCTTACTGCTCCTCTGAAAATGTATTAAATATTCCAGCAACTATAATTTTATCCCATTCCACAGGTGAGATTATAAAAACTTTAAATGTTCAGCCATTTTTATTACTGAACCCAATAAGTAAAACCACCTACCTGCTGTTACTTTACATTAACACCGTCCCTGGAAACCCTAACTAATTTGAGTAATATCTAACATGAATAGTAGATTAGAAAATAACCTGACATATGTATTATGGTAGACCTGACAAACCTATCGTAGTAATTACTGCCCTTTTTGTTTCGCGCTCTCTGCTTCTGCTTTATTTTCTCTAGTTATAGATAGTTATAATAAATTCATTATGAAGCAGGAAATGACCTTAAATGCACCGTTCATACATCAACAGGATGTCTGCTTAAGAAAAATTAAAAGTTCCCGAGTGATGCGTTTCACTGTTGTAATACATGTCATAAATGTACTATCTAAACAATTTTTGAGCCAGTAAACCTAAAACAAACTTATATCACATTCGGTGAAGTAATTCAATAAGTATAAACTTCTAATTACAATATCCGTAACAATCTTATATCACATGTTTGTTCTCTGCATTCAATGTTACTATTTATATCAAGCTGATCATGCCTGTAAGCTGGCATGAATTTTGTAATTATTTTCAGAATATATATATATATATATATATATATATATATATATATACAACTCATTTTTCAGGTACAGATTGGTGTACTTGGCTTTCATATATATGTGAGGATTACTGTCCAGCTGCTCAAATCGAAGTAGATGAAGTGGGACTTAAATCTGTGACCTAATAACTGAAGGTTGAACCCTTTAACCATTAAGCGACCAATCGTCTACGCAATGATATACGATTAAATAATTAAAATGAATAGAAGTAAAAAACATATCAGCATAAATTAAATAATAGAATTTTAATTCACTTGCATTCTTGTTTAAAAGTGAAGTATTCCGTTAAATGCCGACATTCATGATTACCACGTAGAAGATAAAATGTTGTTGGATGAAGAATTTTCAATGCCCATAAATATAAAACACACTATAAATGTAAAATTAAAGACAATAAAAAATATGAAATAAGGTGATTTTATTTCAGTGAAGTTTAAAGAATACATAGTAAACTAGAAAATATGTTTATATAAATTGTGGTATTCGTCCAATGAAATAAATACGTAGTTCGCTTCACAATCAATTGATTACTGATTAGTACTGATTGAGTTCTATCGATTAGGTTGCAAGCTGCCACTAGTTTAAGTGACTCGATGTCATTTGCACTATGTTGAAATGTTAGGTAATTGGAGGTAGCGGAAGGAACCTCTGGTAAGTATTGTATCACTTCATAGAGTATAATGTATAACATAACATGGAATAAATAAAACTCAGTTCGTTTTCATAAATATTTTAAAAATTTATAACAGGAATAGTATAACTTATATAATTGCAAGGATTTAATTAAGATAGTGCCATGAGAAGACAAAATTCATCAGAACCATGTGATATATGGGCACAATATCACAGTTCTGACCGTTTAATGAGTGAGATGTACTATCCTGTATACAAAAAAACGTATTCTATCTTATCTGTTACCACGATAATCACAACCCCTAGTTTACGAAACTACCCATTCTCTAGACTATTGTCCTTTTACATCTAACCAACTTATTCCTGTTTCCATATCCTTGCTGGTTACATTATTATCTTTAATTTCATGTTATGCAATCCATTTCTTCATGAATATTCAACCTCTTAACAAATACGTTTACAGTCTATGTTGGCATACATAGATCCTATGGAGATTGTATTGACATAGTTGTTACACTACAGGTTATTTAAAAGACAAATTAAGGCCATCAGGGAAGTGCAGGGGGCGCATTTCGCCACATTTGCGAGTTGTAAACTGGATTTGACTGGACCCTAGTGTTGATGTTCACATTAGGACACAGTACATTTTGCTTCAAAATCCAGACGCATTAGTCACGGAGATACTGACTCTAAGTAGCTACTAACTTGCTCAACGGGTAAGACGTTCATATCATCATCAGTATGAGTTCGAACTTTCTCGTTGTTAATAGTTAGGACTGAATTTCGATCATTCTTTTCTGAGGGGTCCAAAGTACAACAAAATGAGCGTACTTGAATTCAATGATAGACACAATCCATCTATTCTAAATACATTTTCATTTTCGTAATAATAATAATAATAATTTCTATGCTTTTATTCATTCTGTTCATTCTCACGATATTCAGTAAATTACTATTAATATCTGCATAAACATTATCGTTTGCATTCACTTGGTATTGTTTGTTTGAATCTTCCCATTGATGTTTAGGACTACAATTGATCAGTCTGTTATTGGCATATGTGCATACTGTCCATATTGCGTACTGAGGCTATATCGAGGCAATGGGAAGATTCAAACAAACAATACCAAGTGAATTTAAACTTCACCCCATTGCACAAGCGGTTGGCTATCAGAACTCAGTAGCTGAGTGGATAACACGATGGCGTTTGAAGCGAAAGGTACTGGGTTCGAGCCCCAGAGTGAACATCAACTCAGATGCATGTACATCCAGCTGACGAGTCCCAAATAGGACGGAACGCGCGTCATGAATTTCACTGCTAGCCACTATCCATCTTTGCTTATAATTATCGCTTATGACTATAGAAAAAAAGGCATACGTATTTGTGAATGAATTTAACAGGGAAAAATCACTTTTTTCTTATTTTTAGGTTTCGATTGATTTTTTTCATCTAATCAAAAGTATAAAATACGATCAATCAATCATACATTACCTGCAATCGAAACTGACACTATCAACTGCCTCCCCTAATACGCAAACTGATCAATAAACTGAGTGACTTTCCAACCAAAAAGAATTACATATAGACGTTATATTTTATGACAATAAGATGAAATAAAAACAAAATCACAAACTGTAATCCAAAGCATAAGAAAGGACTGTATATATCCAAACAAAAAGAAACCACTTTTGTCCTCACCTTTTACTAAACACACACATATACACAAAAGGATCAAAAAACAACAAACATCATTTACCCTAAAAAAACCTCTGTTCATTTTCCCAACCAAGGAAAAAGAAATTTCAGATAAATTTATTTGTTGACTTTGTTTACCTATGATTATTATTACTATTATTATCGTTGTAGTTCAAGGAACAAAGACACGACTAAAGTATAACTGTGAGAAGAAATGGGAAATTCGTTTAATAATAAATGACTAACAATAATATAAATATTAAGAAAAAACACAAATGAAAATGAACAGAATGGAGAATTATAAAATTGGAGGAGTGGAGGACAAGAAATACGCAAGAAATAGAAAACAAGGAAAGAAACAGGGTGAAGAAAAAACCGAGAGAATGAAAAACCATTCACATAATGATGTAATCGGTTGCCAAAGTGCGTTAAAGCAAAAAGGCGGAGCGAAAAAACAACAAAATAATAACAACCTAGATTCAATTCAATTTAATTATAACGACAGGAAAAAGAAAGACAAGGATACTACTTTTTTGATTCTTTTTTCTAACCGAACGAAAAATAATGAATTATTCAAAGAGTTTCATTTTCGTTCTCCTGTTAGATCAATCACTAGTAAGCGTTGTGTACAGTAAAGAAAAGATGATCATTAGATTTAGCAGTATGTGGGATTTCATGGTAAGGAATGAGAAACCATAGAAATGGAAGAGACAGAGAAGAGAAGGAAGATTCAAAATACTAGGAAATCACTATATATATATTCAAACAATCCGAAACATTTCAACAAAAATGTTTATGTAAAGACTGGTTCTATTTGTCTATTGTCCTTAAATTATAAGGTAAGTATCCTGATAGTCAATATCTGTTTTTTGTCTAAAAATACACACCTACACCTACAAATAATTTACCGAACATACACAAGTAAATTATTCGTAGATGTTTGTAAGCCCTAAATGCCCTGGTACGGCCGAGGTTGGGAAGCGTCCACTCTCCCTCTCCAAATGCTCTCAAATGGACACGTGCATATAATTTCCGTCCGGGAAGTCCTATTCACTGCCTTCTCGTGGAGGGTGTGTTGTTTACGAAATTGAAAGGACGAAAAGTGAATGTCCAGCGCTTTAACCGGATTGGTGGACATAGAAAGTCCACCTAAGGGAGTTGGAAAACCCTGATTCCAATCCAATGGTGCACATGGGCTCCAGTATCCTGAGGGAACAAACGGAGTATGAACCAATTATTGGTCACCGGCTACCATAGGACTGCATCTTCTTATGTTGCTGCCACTGCCCTATGGATCAGATCTTTAGGTCAAACGCTCAGGATGTGGCCCCCTAAGAAAACCACCTGCTTCGGTTTAGGAACCCGGGCAGTATCACAGCCCTCACACAAATCAAGTGACTTGTGTGGCGTATATGTATTCGGTGCCCCTTTGTACCAATACCTATATGTTTAAATAAATAAATAAGAACATACATAAATATTAGTTTTCATCAGCATATGAGAGAAAAGCGAATTTGTAAATACATAACATATGTATATGTAATGTGACAGATAAACTCCGGTGAAACTATTGTAACATCAATAACTTTTGAAGCTACATTGAGTAAGCCAGAGTGCAAGATTTCCAAAGATTACGCTACACAGACAATAGATACCGGATTCTTTCATTGATCAATTGGTTAATTCATAAATATCAAAAACAGACGTTAGTTGAAAGATTTAAAAAGACAGATAAATGAAAGAGTAATCATGTGAGAAATGGGACTAGATGGATTTAGCAGACAGAAAAACAATAGCGTAAAACAAATAATGATAGCAAAAGCAGTATAGAAAATTGAAAATGAAAATATGGAATACAAGAGAGAATGAAGGTTGAAACATCGTATCATATAATATCTGTCATGGAGTAGGCTTTCTTGATTTGATGAACGAACTTTTTATTATTGAGATGAAAAAAGAATGTTAATGACTCGACAATAGGCAATGATACGAAGTGACTGAATGATAGCTGCTCATGAAATCAAATTATTGAAGTATGCCTCTAGCATTATTTGCGATCAAAGACAAAACTTTTTTCGAATAAATTGACTTGACTTTATACAAAATATTGAGAACAAGAATAATAATGATTAGATATTATAAACGACTGGATAGAATTAATTCCGTAAGTTACCTATTCTCTAATAGATAATCTCATTGATAGGCCTAATTCTTACCCACCATATCAATATAACAACTAAATAAGAATTAAAAGAGTGAATGTATTCAAACCAATTTAGACCATTAAACTTATATTTCTTTCTCACAATTGTCCTCTGTTAAATGAATTATTAATTTGAATAAATAGACACATCTATTTGCTAACATATCATTTACCCTAGTTATCAATCAGCAATCTACCAGTTAGGAAAAAGTAAGTTCTCAAGTTCTGCACCTCTTATGACAAACAGAGCTCATACAATAAAATAAGATGGCTACAAAAGATAAAATAAAAGACTTAACGAGATGTGAAGTAATATCAGTTCGACCGTTTCACAACACCATATGTGATTAGAAAGCAAGAATGGTCTTCAGCACAGCAAGCTTTCTTGAAGATTAACAGGAAAGTAGTCCTTTTACATAATACGTTTGACTGTTAGGTGATTGAAGTTAGTCAACATGAAACCTCACTTAAGCTATGTTTCGTGCTATTTAGCACTCGTTAAGGTATGGCTGAAATTTCAAGACCACTGATGCCTCCTGTAAAATTGAAAGAGAGGTCACCCAGTTTCCGGACCCAAGGTTCTTCTAGTAAGCTAGTCGGGTAACGTCTGACCTCCCGTAAAACTGAGATATGCAAAGTCCAGTTACATTGTAACTTGGTCGGTAGACTTCGACAAGCACCACAAGAATAGGTATGCAAGACACTGGTCACCACTCAGTGATCGATCAACTGTGAGGATTATAGCATACTGGACGGTAAAAAAAATCGATCAAAGAGATAAGGCGGTTTCGTGGATGCGCACTGCTGAGGAGTCCCATAACAGGACGAAACGGCCGTCCAGTGTTTCCAGGTTTTTCATAGTGGTCTAGCTTCAATTGACTCACGCTTTCAACTATGAAAAATATAGGAAACATGATTTACTACGTAATGGGGCAAAAAAGTATTGAACTGAATGGTAACCTGAAAAAATATTATTTCTGTGTTTGCTCAACGATAATCCTACAAAAATCAGAAGTATAATTTTTAGAAATTTGATTAGTAAGTTGCAGAATGCAGGTGCCATACAAATTTTAAAAGTTTCAGTCCGTTCATAAAACAGACTAGTTGACCTCCTAGTCATAAATAATACCTTGGGCAAACGACTTTTAAAAATGACATGGAATAACACTTTTAATATGTACAAATTCGGTCATACGGTTAGTATAAAAATCAATTTGATTTTACAAATTACAAAATATGACCATATATACTTTCGTTATTGTCAACATTTCACTGCGTCATACACATCTGCATAGAATAGTGATTGCAAAACAAGCACTGCGTATGATCAGAGTTTGTAGTTGAGATTTCCAATGAACTGAATAAAAGGAATGGATATAAATACGGTTCAGTATAGTAGATAAGATTTGATGAAGGGACAATAAAACCTCAAAGGCAAGTACACAAAATAAAATAAATGACAGTCATCAGATTAGATTTACTAAAACAATATTAAAAGATAAACGTCTGTATTGGCTATGATGTTAACAGTAAACTTTCGTTTAGAGGGGAATAATACAATATTAGTAAGTCCCATCGTTCAATGGCAATAAAATATTTCATAAATGACTGGCAGAAAAGATACAATGTATGACAATATTAGTAAAAATAATTACAGATATTGTTGTAACAGTGTGACCAATACAATCGATAGAAGGCCAGGTTTAGACGTGGTTTAACAGAAGTACAATGTGCATAGTCAACAAAGCTTCTTATTCTAAAAACGTAGTTATAGATTCATTTTTTGGTCGAAATGAGAAAAAATATTGATGGTAACTAAGAAAATATATATTACACCGATTACCACAGGGATAGAACACTAATAATGAATTATGTACTACGATAATTTTCTTTGAAAAAGAACACAAACAGAATAGGCAGTGACAAAATAACCATTTTATTCATATATTGAAGGCATATCCACAATACGTCCAAGACAGTTTTAACCAACATAGAGCTTGAATACAAATACACTTCAGTTCGAATTGTCTAACTCATATCCATACAGCGACATGAAACTAATAAGACGAATAGTAAAATACGAATAATAATAATAATAATAATAATAATAACTATCAACAATAGTAAATCACCTAGGATAGGAGAAAAAACACCCTTGATTAATCCATAATCCTTTAAGAATACATCACAAACTGACCTTAGTTTAAAATCCAAAGAGACCGTTGATTCGTCCTAGCATGAGAAACCTCAACAACGTGCATCCAATAACCCATTGACGGACAGAACTCAGAGCTTTTAGACTTTGCGGTCCCTTTACTAATCAATCATCATGTTTCTACCAGTGACCAACTCTCACAGATAATTCCTGAAGTTCTAGAGTTAATTCGGGACTAGTGGACATGAAACAAATATCTCCAATGACAATAGATAGTGATGAATAAATATTGAGGATCGACTGATGTTAGAAATTTAAGCTATTGGATGACACCTCAGTAGTCTTTAGGTCAAATTCTCGCTGCGAGGTCTAACAGTCCTGGATTTGAACCTCGGAGAAGTCGTGGGCGCGCACCGTTGAGTAGTGTCATGCTATGATGGAACGGATATCCAGCGTTTCTTGATTCCCAGTGGTTGTCTAAGTACGGTTAATTCGTGATGCAAACTATGAAGTTTAACAATCTCCATACATAACTCACACTAATAAATTATATTTCTTAATATAAACATGATCATTACTCTTTGGTTCACTTTTCTTTAAAATTTTGTTTATTTGTTAGTTAGAAATATTCAGCATTGGTGAAGGTGATCAGCCTGAAAAATCGTACTATTTAGAAGTCAATTATTAATTAGTGACATGATGAGTTATTTACAATTTCATTAAAGAGATACCAGATAAAAGTAATCGAGGGTATCAGAAAATGAGCACATAATTTGAAGCTGTTTTAACTTCATCCAAAACAGAAAGTCTTCTTCCAACCACATAAAGTATAAAATTCATTTCACTTGACAAAATAATATAAATAAGAGATTATTTGAAATAAAATAGATAAAATCAAGTTTTTAACAAGTGAATACTCTTATAGCGGCTAAAGTTTTGAATCCTTAGCTTTTGAAAAATAATATCATTTAATTTTACAGAAACAACACTAATAGAAGCTAAATAACACTCAAATCACAACCGAAAAATAACATTCCAATGCCAAGAATGGTAGACAACTAATGAGACATCAATGTTTATTCTCATAATTAAAAGTTTGACCGAAAAAACACTGTCCTTCGATGTAAACAGCAATTAGTAATAGTATACACGAAGTTATAATGAATTCTGTGAGTATATACGTGCAATGTAACTAACTCTGAATAACAGCTTATCTCCATTGATGCACAACAAGTTTACCTAAGTGAACATATGAAAAGTCTGAAGAAAAAAAGCAACTATCGAAAGTCGGCTTATGTTTATTCAATAAACATGAAAAGAACAATGAGAATAGCGAAATTAATGATAATGATAATAATGATCATCAAAGCTATAAGACTTAAGAAAAGCAACCAACTTCTAATAAATGTTCCTCAGTTATCTTAAGCGAAAACAGTTATATGGAATTTTATTGAAAAAAAAGCTAAACTCAGTCTACCAAATGTAACAAATTAACAGCGGGAAACAGTGAATGAATGTATATAAACATATGTATACATGAATGCGCACAGTTTAACGATGACAATACATTTTTTCCAGTGGTTAGAGTAGTGATAGACAACGAATCATCAATGTTAAGCAATTGATAGAGAGAAAAATAAGTAATATCGTTTGTCGCTGAACAGGGCAAGACAGGTTCCAAGCATTCCACTGCTAGCCATAATTCATATATTCTATGAAAAATTTTCTTTGTAAAAATAAAACATACTGCTATTATTACTCTATTCCTATAAACATTTGTACAACAAATAGAAAGACATTCATAAGAATTATATATTCGTCTTGAAACACTGAGAAACAAACAAAAGTTCGTCAGTTAAAACAGAAAAAAATATTAAATACTGAAATAATCACACACAAAAAGAAATATCATGAAATTATTAAAATCAGTAGTGAGGGTGGTTGGTATGGTACAAACTAACAACACCAACACAAATGAGAACCAGCTGAGATATATAAGAACTCTCGACTAAATTAGAGCGAATAGTTTCACAGTATTTGAACGCCGAGTTGATGTAAGACATTAAACAGGAATAATATATTTGTAAAATCTCAGCGAATGAATTTGTACAAATTCAACTGTCACCAAACAGTAGATTAACAGTTAAGGTATGATCATTTTCAATCACTGTGACCAAACTTCAATCCATAATCTGTTTATTTCAGTTTTGGCAACTGGATAGTATCACAAGCCAATACATGCTTACTCATTGCGTCATTTATGATAAGCGTAGAGTCTGGCACAAATATGCGTTGGCTCAAGTTCCCATACTTCACCAGTACGATAAGATAAATTTTAAAAGACTAATATTAAGGGAATCGAAATAATGTAGTAGCAATTGGATGAGAAATACTGAGCATCAAGAATATGATCCCAAAATCGCAACGACAAGGTAAGTACAAAGGAATACAGGTGTAGTGGACGCTACTCACGAGATTACTTGTAAGCAGCATGTAGCAGAACGTAGCATCGAAGTTGTCACAGTCGCCAGAAAGAGAGAAGAGTTTCAGTACATGGGAAGTGCGGCGTAAGCAAAACACTTAACGATAAGGTGTAAAGACAGTTCAAATTGAAGAACACACCGCAAAATCCAAATGGATGATCAAACACTATGTATACATAATATATAAACGCTTTGTGATTTCTCGCAATTATAAGCCTTCTGTCCACACTGAGGCTGAAAATCTAGAGGAATGTAAAATGTAAATCCATCTGAGCTACTGTGACCGATTTGGACCCATGATAGCCAAAATTTCCAACAACTCATCGCACAGTTTGTATCCATCTATATGTCACAGATCAACAGGCAATAACCTCACGGACTAGTGTCATACTTTCGTTTGGTCACTCTACCAACCTTCTTTTACATCAGCTAACATTCACCGTCAAATTGGTCAAGTTACGATTGAAGAATTTCTAGGACTATTTAGATGTAACCGACCACATTTATATATGTATTCAAGAGATTCAGGCACCCTGTAACTAATATGCTACTTTAAAGTATTGAATAAAATTGAATAAAATTCTGGCTCGTTTTTGTTGTACGTCAAAAGTGGATCACCTCCTAACATATTTCACATATGAATCAATACAATCAATAATATTATCTATAATTCTTTTAAATACAATCAATCACTTTCTAAAATAAAGAACCAGAGAGTTGACTGTATCGTTCTTCGCAAATATTTAATGAGAAATTTCATGAAACAACATTCTATCATAATAAGAAAATACAAAGTGTCAATAAATTATAATTAATTGTAATGATATGATTAAACAAATTAAAATGTGGACTACTATTATATATATATATATATACATATATATGGATAGTGATATGAAAAGCAGACAACATAGTTACCTATAAACAACTAGACAGTTACAAGAGTATAGAAAAGACTTCAGAAAAAAATAGAATTTAATTGATTTACTAAATGTCAATATTTTGTTTTTCTTTAATTTGGAAAACAAAAGATAAAACTTCAAAGAAAGGAATTAAACAAAAGAAAATGCAACAATCAAAAATGAAATCCGGGGTAAATTATTGTATAGAGAACACCCTACACTCAAATAAAAATGAGAATAAATTCTTTTATTGTATCCTATAACCAAAATTATAGTTGGCAAAAGTTAGATTTATTTATTTATTTGAAGACATAGATATTAGGACAAGGAGGCACCAAATACATATATACCACACAAGTCTCATTTGATTTGTGTGAGGGCTGTGATACTGGCTGGGTGCCCAAACCGAAGCAGGTGGTTTTCTTAGGGGGCCACACCCGGAGCCTTTGATCTAAAATTTGATCCACAAGGCAGTGGAGCATCGTAAGGAGATGCAGTCCCATGGTAGCCGGTGACCAATAATTGGTTCATACTCCGTTTGTTCCCTCAGGATACTGGAGCCTATGTGCACCATTGGATTGGAATCAGGGTTTTCCAACTCCCTTAGGTGGACTTTCCATGTCCACCGATCCGGTTGAAGCGCTGGACATTCACTTTTCGTCCTCCCAATTTCATAAACAACACATGTTAGATCAATGACTTTAATAATACTCACGTTAACCGTGAGACATGAAAGTTACTAGTTCGGTCTGTTTTGTAGGTATTAATCCATAAGTGAGCACTGTTAAAAAATATCGAATTTAAATGAAACAGGTATTCGATAATTCGTGAATTTAATATTTATATTGTTAAATTCAATACCTGAGGACTAATTATTACCATGAAGAATTTAAATCCACTTTTAGAAGAACCAAAAAAAAGAAATCGATGTCAGTGATCTCGAATTCCTACGTTCGGCAAAAATCTTTTGAATGGTATAGCTGTTAAATAGTTAATCAAATTTAGAAGGCAAATAAAATTGATTACAATTCCTGAAGAAATAAACAGGCAATTCAGTTCTATATTGAAACTTTGCATTTAAATTGTTTGTGTACATGTTAGCAGATGGAAAGAGAATGGGATTAGTATCAGAGAATTTACAATGAGTGGATATATTTTATTTTTAAGTTATTATTACTAATTTTTTTACTATTATCACTATTACTACTACTTATTATTACTGTTTATTCATGTTCATTGTTAGGTTTACTACACAAATGCTTTAACCTTCACAAATAGATAAAAAACGTGTGATAATAACATACTCATTTATTCAACTCATTAAAACAATTTCTATTAACTTACGAGATACCGAGATTTTTACTTGGCTTCAAGACACACTCTAAGTGTGAGATTTATTGATACTAATCGGGTATCTAAACTGAAGTGGGTGGACCGAGACGAACACTCTAAGCTATCGCTACCAGTTTAGGAGAAACGGTTTTACACAGAAGCTACTACTGATGATCTGACTTCGTTGTACAGTAAAGTGACGTTTTTGGAGTACATACAACTCAGTGATTAAAAGTCAAGCAGTTAAACAAGTGAAACGAAAGATAATTTAAAACGAATATCAGTCAGTTCCAAATGAATTCATTTTTAAAATTCATGCTAAAAAACCATTTAATTTATTCACACCAAAAAACCAATGTAATAAAAAACGAAAACAAGGTACATAAATGAAAAATAACTCAAGTGAATAAGACAGATTCTCCCTATTATGTATGTGCAAACATAAACAGTAACTCTTTTGTTACAATTAAGAGTTGAGAACCTTCAGGTGCTCTGATTTTTAGGACTAGTCAAGTGAGGTGAATTGTCCGAAGAATAATAAGGAATAAAGGTAAATGGGTTGAATAAGAACCTATCAAATAAGCTGAACAGTAGTAAGATAAAATATATGTGTAGAAACCAAAGTGTATGTAAAATTTCAATCCACTGGTTATTTTAGTCATTTAGAGGTTTCATCTGTTCTGAATATGTTATGGAATATTTATGGCTATTATACCGACTAACAAGGGAGTAAGTAGACGACACGGAACAATCCTGTCAATTTGAAGATTGTGTGACAGGTGAACCTTTACAAAAATATTCATGAAAAATCATCTCATTTTAAAATACTACGCTTTATCCGATAACTCTAAACAAATCCAGCTAGGTCAAAACTTAGATGTTTACGTAAATGGAAAATCAAGAAATTACCGATGGAGCATTTGGTCTCAGTCTACCATCAATTAAATTCTTCATATTAGGTACCAATTTAAATATCAGTGAATATTTTGGTGTTGTATTTTTCGAACTAGATAGTTTTTTTCATTAAAAACCTTAATTATGCATGAAGTAGGAGCTGTAGACATTGTCGAGAATGAAAAAGAAAGCATGGCAATTGAACCATCTACCTCACAAAACACGACATCATTAAAAGCACATACCTGGTCAGTAAATCCTATCCATTGTTGGTAAATAATAGTACTAACCCTGGTATTTAAGTTCAAGTGAAAAATAATAATGAACTCCTAAAGACCAAGGCAGACGGAGCGTAGTTATTCAAACGTATACAATATAGCAAATCTATAGTGAATTGGAGCCTAGTAATTAAACAACTTCTGGTACATTTAAAATTTTTAACCATTAACATAAACAGAAAAATTTTAGTTAACAAATGAAGTTCGTTTTTCTAAAATTTTAGCTACTTGATAAACCAGTAAACCAGTGTATAATCATCTCAATTTAATCAAATCACTATTAACCATTGATAAAAAGTGAATACTCCTGATCCATAAACGTTAAATCCTTTAAAATAAAGGAAATACAAACGAATAATAATAATAGCAATAGTAATGATAAAAGACAATCACCAAAAACCTATAAGTGCATTAATTAAATTGAATATAAGAAAAGTAGTAAGACCACTTTAACATGCACAAAATACGGAACACCTTTATTTACGTTTTTGCATTAGTTGTTAGAATCTTCCCATTGATGTTTAGGACAGCAATCGATCAGTCTATTATTGGCATATGAGCGTACTGTGCGGACTGCCTCGATATTACTTTACTGGAATGAACATCAACTCTGAGATGCAGGCACATTCAGCTGACGATTTCTATATAGGACGAAACGCGCGTCCTGGGTCCCACTGCTAGCCACCATCTATCTATGCTTATAGTGTTATTTACACATATCTTTTTGGTAAAAAATATTGCAACAATACCCGAATTGAGTTGAGGGAGAATTTACTTATTAAAATTCCGTTCAGGTGGATATATTATCTTTACATTATTTCTGACTGATTACAGATTTTATCATCCTTGTATTATTTACACTGTTATTGCAAGGACGTATACAAAACGGTTGACTGAAATAAAATCTACTGAAATCAATGAGTCATAAATGAATCATGAACATATATGACGATAGTCCTATCATAGTAGTTTACGCTATTATTATTTCATACTCTCTGTTTTCGTTTTCTTCTCCTTAGTTGCAGATGATTGTAAATATCCTGTAACGGCACTGAAATCGCTCTTCGCTACATTACTCATGTCTAAACATGACATCCTAATATATCCACTAAGAAAATAATGGATCCCAACTGATGCTTCATATTACTATAATCTATGTGACAACTGTTCTATCAAAACAACTTATGACTTATGTCTTTTCGAATAATGTATTCTGATTTCTATCCAAATACATGTTGCTTTTCTTATTTTATCAATTCAATCATGCCTGCAGACACCATGTAATTATTTTCAGAATAAGGTATCGTAATGTTGATATAATTTATCACTTTTTTCCAGATAGTAATTACGATGACAGGAAAAAGTATAAATAAAGTAAAGCACTAAATCACTGAATTCTTATCACTAATAGTAAACAAAGTTGTTTGAAAAAGAAAAACAGAATAAGAAAAGGAAAATAGGTCACTGAAAACATAATTTGTTGTATTATTAAAAAGATGAGTGGACAAAAATTTCAAAGAAAAAGTTTACAGTTTATTTATTTTCTCTGTTTAGATGAAAAATAAAAATACCGCTAATAGGTAATTAAAACAATCAAAAAATACGAATAACAATCCAAACTATTCGCAAAAATGTTTGTTGGCTTAAGTTCCCATAATTCACCAGTACGTTAAGATGAATTTTCAAAGATTAATATTAAGGGGATCGAAATAATGTAGGAACAATTGGATGAGAAATACTGAACATCTAGAATATGGATTCAAAAGTCACAACGATAAAGTAAATATGAAGGAATACAGGGAGTGTAGATGTTGAGGGAGATAGAGAGTGGATGAATCTGCGCCTACGCCACAAGTGATGTAAGTTGACAAAGGTCAACTAAGCTTTGTGAATCTGCGACGAAATTTTTTTAGACACCAACCTAAAAAGGTTGATGTGACCTCTCAATTAAATGAAGTATATTGAAGCCATAAACTATGTTCATGCAAAAAAAAATAAATGATCGACTACATAGCAGCAGAATAGGTAAACTCTTTCGTAAGGAAAAAATAGCAGCATAATGGAAAACGAAAAATATAACAAAGTTCGTTTTCAAAAAAAACTCATCTTACCTCGATACTAAAATATCCTCTATCCACATAATCTCCAAGGAAAAGGTATCTGGTTGTTGCAGGATCTCCACCAACTTCGAATAATTTCATCAAATCGAAAAATTGTCCATGAATATCTCCACATACTAAAAAACGAAAATCGTAGTAAACAGTGATAACATAACAGAAGGAATTCAAGTAAGAAACAGGAACAATAACAATAAGTTTATATTGGCGCAGATTGAAAAATGGTTTTGAAATAAACAATATGTTATTTACGTCACGAGCTGACCCTAGTTAGACAACCACAAAACTAGGGATCACTAGACATTTGTTTCGTTTACCATCCACAAAAAAGCTAAAAGCGTATTTTCTTTTTTTATTCCCTTCAAGATATTACAAGCCCCGGGATAAAACTATGTGCTAAATATGTGAGTCAAATATACCTCTACAGCAGGGAAAAAGAAACTCTTCAGGTGGTCAAAATCATAAAAGACACCGAGCTATAGACATAACTAGCAGGTGACTTATGCTTAGTAGCGAATAAAATAATCACAGACACCAAAAAAAGACAAACTGATATTTCAAACCCTACCTCACAGTTTTGTGAATCCATATTTTAATATACTTTCTCCACCAGTTCGGTTCAGTGCATTGTTATTCTACTAAACACTTAACTACTGATAAATAAGCATTTTTATACACATCAATAAGCATATAAACAAAGACTACTGTCACTTTTTCCCGATAATCTATACACTACTAATCCTACTACTGTCAGTATTTCGCCAAAATACTGACTGACATAGTACGCAAGTTATTATTAGTAGGTAAAAGGATATTTTAATATTATTTAGTACAATTCTTTGAACATGAATTTATGTGGAAGTAAAATTGGGGCCGTTAAATCACGTGCACATGGTATAACATTAGAAGTAATCAAAAAAATTTCCTAATCATATGGATGGATAGAATGCATAATAAGAGCATATGGATTAAACAGGTGTTTGTATTTTACCTGGAGTTAGTGTTTATAGAAGTGAGAAAAAATTTGGTTAGATAAGATACACTTAAAAGTAATATACATCTTAACTATATTTATTACTATAAAATGAAAATAATCCAGAAATGGGTTATAAGTATTACTCTTGCTACCTGATAAATAGGTCACATGAGAATACTCAATAGTCACAAAGAATCACCTGGTTTAAAAAAAAATTAGAGAAGTGTTGAGTTTCACGGATATTCCCTATATTTAAATCGACGAAAAATTGAAACAGTAGATTTAAGGTTCATAACAGATAACATAAATTTGATAACCAAGTATGCAAGAAAAGTAGATGAAAATGAAATCATGATAATTTGTGATGTTGAAGGTGTATGAACTAAGGTTATTTTCAAGTTTCTCATACTTCGATGAAATCTAGAAAAATGAGTCAGTTTCACAGAGATAGACAGTCCTATCACCTTAAATTAGATGACGGTCGGGGAACCATTAAAGAGAAATACTAGGTTTAGAACTATTAATTAAGTGCTTTCAAACACGCAGTGCGAAATTCCGTCTATTTTAGTACTGCATCATTTACTTTAGTGGCATGTTATCTTTTAGTATACAGTAATGTAATCTAATCATCCGGACCTCAGGAATATCGTAGAGTAAACCTAATACATCCATTGCAACAAATAGTGGACCTGTTTAGACTTGTAAAGGCTTGTATTATCTCTTTTTGAATATTCAAGACCGTGTTTAACCAGCCTGTACTGACATAACTATATACTGAGTGGATGCCACAGTATTGCATGCAATTTTTGGATTAGTTCCAGAAGCAATATCCAGGACGCGTTTGGTCATATTTGGGATTCATCTGCTGGATATACATCCATCCCAGTGTTGATGTTTACAATGGGACTCATTATCAGTACCTGTCACTTCAAACGTCAATGAGTTATCCATGAAGCTATTTAGGGTATATAACCAATATTCTGTCCAACAGACATAGGATCCGTCTTAGATTCCACTACTACTTGCAATCTGAAAATGTGTTTAATGTTGCTTATCGGCTGTTTTCAAACATCTTTATCAAATACAGTGTGGCGCACATATATCTGGTGCCCCCTTGTACCAATATTTCTGTCTAAAATAAATAAATAAATATCAAATACAGTTAATGTTTTAACAGGACATCTACGAAAATGTTGTCAACCAAAGGAATATATGTAATCAAGCTTTATGTAATAATCCATTACAAATCTTATAACATCTGGGTATTTGAGTAAATTGTACAATGTCTACAGATAAATGGTAAACTTTATGGCTATTTTTTGAAAGGTAAATTTAAAAATTATTGAAGCCATTGTACTAAAGCATAACACCATCGAAAAGTCTCACGCTTACTAGTGAATAAAAATATCTGTCTATCAACAGATTAGAAGCAAACGTCGACTTACCGGTGACAGGGGCGTCAATATCCAAAACTGTATTTTCATCTCGTAATAACGCCGCACCAGAACGGATAATCCTTAGGGCAACTTGTTCTGTAACTCGACCTTCGAGTATAAAATGCTGTCTTAATTCTTTAATCCGAGGTTCCCCTTTACTATCAAAGACTTCTTCCAGTGTCAAACGGTGGGTGGGAGGATGAGGGATACCTAGATGTAGAAAGTAAATCAGAAAATTATTATTATAACCGTGTTTCGGGAATCGAAAGTAATGTTCTTCAGTTCGAGTTATTAATGAGGTGATATGATCTGTTGCCAAATGACAGTGTTTTAGCAGAACAATTATTTTTATTAATTTTGATACTAGTGAACTGTGCTATTAAAGTCAATAACTTCAAAGCCTGGAATCCTTCATAACGATCGAGACGATATGGTTGGTAATCCCAACAGAATAAACTACATGGCCAGTCAGTCACAACGTAGAACTTCGTACATACGTACATCAGTTCGAGTTGCCATACCACATTAGCACAGAGATGCAGTCATCAATTCAAATCCTATATTGGTAGAAGTAGTAAGAGTATAAACAGTAATCCGAAAGATTAGGGTCTGAAGATGTCATTCAAGCAGTATAATCCAGTGAAATAAATTTGGAAAGAGAAAAAAGATAGAGACATGAAGAATTCAGAAGGTTAGAATTCGGTAAAACACAAAGAGTGGATGCACCTGCGCCATTGCAAACGATTTTGAGCCATGTCTTTCAAGGTCTCTAACCATCGGTTGCTATCGTCTCGCGGATCCCAACCAGATAGTCTACACCTACCAACATGGCTCAGTCCACTTGCCAGTGACTTCATGGATTTGTGCCATGTTTTGGTCTGGCCGCCTATAGCTTTTTTCCAACCTACTCCTACATCATAAAACATTGCACGTCGGGGCAATCGGTGGTTGGGCATAAGTAACTTGTGCCCCAGCCATCTCAACTGATCAAGTTTCACTACTTCATCAATCTTTTTGTATCCTTACCTAGTACCCGTTTCCTAACAACTACATTACTTACCCGGCGGTCCCAGGATATACGAGCAATGCTTCGAAGACACCTATCATCGAACACTAGTAGCCAACAAATATCCTCTATTCTTATCGGTCATGTTTCGCTGCCATAGAGTAGGACGGAACGAACTGCTGTGCGGTAAACCCGTCCTTTTGTTGCTAGACGGATATCTCGCCTACGCCATAAATGACGCAAGTTGATGAAAGCTAGTCGAGCCTTCTGTATCCGTGTTGAGATTTCGTCACATACCAGACCACAAGGGCTGATGAGACTCCCAAGATAAGTGAAGTGGTCTACACGCTCAACTACTTCACTCCCTATCATTAGTTCAGGTGTCGATGCAACCCAATCTTGAATTAACATTTTGCACTTCAAGGGGGAGAATCGCATCCCGAACATGCCTGCATCGTCGCTTATAGTGGTCAGAAGACTCTGCATTTTGTCAGCGTCTTCACCAAATAGAACTATGTCAATGGCGTATTCTAAGTCAACAAGTGAGTCTCCCGGTAAACTTTCAACTCCTAGAAATTTAGAGGATGAAAGTGTTATTTCTAAAAGCATGTCAACGACAAAGTTAAACAAGAATGGAGAGAGTGGACAGCCCTGACGAACACCACTTGAGGTAATCAGTTTTGATGAGAGTTTGCCATAAGCTCTAACTCGACCAGTTGTGTTCGAGTAGAGAGTCTTTATAAGGTATAAGGATTTGAAGATATAATTGGACGACATGAACTAGGAGACAGAAATGAAAATGGGAAGAGATTTGCAAATCTATGTGCATTTAACAAATTGGTTATAGGCGGCAAAATATTTCCACACAAACGCATGCACAAAGCTACATGGATCTCACCGGACCACACCACAGAGAACCAAATAGATCATATTTGTATCAACAAAAAATTCCGAAGGACAATGGATGGTGTGAGAAGCAGGAGAGGAGCTGACATAGCTTCGGATCACTACCTGGTTGTGGACAAGATGAAACTAAAGAAACACTGGGCAACTGGGCAAACAGAAATACAAAGGTTCAATACAGCCTTCCTTCGAGATACTAACAAAATCAACCAATTCAAGATAACTTTCAACGAGAACTACAAAAAAAATAACACTTTTACAGGTACCAAGAAAAGTTTTAAACAAATTTTTGCTCAACCAGATGAAAGATTCAGCAGATACTAAGCTTCGACATTAAGAAGCTAGATTCCGTAAGAATTGGGAGCTGAAGAACTAGTGATCTACTAATACCAATACCTAACATGAGTATCTTTTAAAGGATGGTTTATATACACTAAAACTAGGAACATTGTTTTCTAGTAAACTGCATTGCCAGAGATAAAGAAGACGTCCAATAAGTCCTAAATGAAATGAGTTTAAAAAGACCGACCTTAAAACTTACAAAAGTTAACTTGGCTACGAAAAACTGTAAATAACACAGATTACCGAATTTCTGATGGAGAGGAAGTTTTTTCATCCCTAAAGCCCTCGTAAATATGTACACTTAAAGATCGTTGGTAGGTCGTACAGACTACCTACACATGGTACTGATGTGCCCATAAAAGCAAGAATGCGAAATTATAGGATTAATATGGTTCAACAAATAACGAGTGGGAATCAGGAAGTTGAAACCTCTGACTTAAAACCAGTCATTAACAGATTCTTTTAAGACCCTAGAGGAATAATGGTTTATATAATTACTTTGGTAAGCAAACACTGTAAGGAACCTTAATCTACCTGCATCGTTTGGGGTCAATAAACAATAGCTTTTTAAAACTTATGTTTGAGGGAGAAGTCTGAATCCGTTATTTAAAAACCGAAGGCCGTTTAAACTTTCAACATTTAGTGATCTTATTCTGATGTTATGAAAACAAGTTCTCTGGGAAACCTAGCTATTGACGTATTGTGTACCCAAAAAGAATAGTATTCTAGATTCAGATGAAATACTACTAAAATTTCCCTCATCCATCTCCAAAAAGAGTAGGTTCGATATGTGCCTATCCCCGGTTTCGGTATTCATTCTTCTTGATTTTCACTGGACATATGGGATATAAAGCAGGATTTATAAACCAAACTCTTATTTTGTGCAATTTTGGAACGTTAACTTCTGACCACGGAAAGAAATAACTTACAAAGAGAACGACACTCGGATTATATCTCTCTACACATCAACGAAAGATAGTTCCTATTACTAATAGAATGATCTCTTTAACACAATCCATACAACAAACTATGTTAGTAGTTATTACTATTTAGGCAGCATGTTAAGGTAGGAAAAAGGTTTGCTTAGGGTGACGGAAATTCCTTCGCTCTCCACAGTCAAAAGTGTCCTTGAAAGCTCCATAAAGACTACAACTTAATTTTGTTCATTAATTTCATCACCGTCTCAATAAAAGTGCTATCTAATCTCTCTTTCTCCATACATTACTTTAAGTAGATAACATTTGAACCAGCTACCCTGTAAGTGTTCGGAATTATCGCTTTTTGCAACATCTGTGTTTAGTTTGGGCTGTGCTACATTT